GGAGGGAGGGAGGATACTGTGAGAATCAATCGGTTGCCTCCAGTACATAATCCAACCATGGATCGAACCCACAACCAACATTCAATGTCTTTATCGTGATTTAAATGCCTGAAATGCTAACATTTTTAGAGGGTTCATTACTCATTCAATCAATTTCAGGTAGGCCTGAGCTAGGAGGCATTAGGAGGACACAGAGATGTGCAAGAAACATAGTTTTTGCCTAGAAGTGCTTAGAATATAATTAGAAAAATCAGACAAGTATGAAAAGATTTAAAAAGCATCAAATGAACTAGTTTGCTAAAGAAAAAAACAACCCAACCCAAAAGGGTAGGTTGCTGAGGAACTTAAGGAAGGAGAAAACTCTGGCCTTTTCAGGAAACACTGGTAGCACTTTAAGGTCCTGAAATGAAAGGCAAATCAGAATTAGTGGTGGGGACCCGGGGATTGGGGTTAAAGGTAGGGGTGGAGGCATGGTGGTAGGAAATACATGAAGGTCCAAACAGGGGAAAAAGACTATTAAAAAACAAATCAGCCCTAACCGGTTTGGCTCAGTGGATAGAGCATCAGCCTGTGGACTGAAGGGTCCTAGGTTCAATTCTAGTCAAGGGCATGTACCTTGGTTGTGGGCACATCCCCAGTAGGGGGTGTGCAGGAGGCAGCTGATCGATGTTTCTCTCTCATCGATGTTTCTAACTCTTTATCCCTCTCTGTAAAAAATAAATAAAATATATTTTTTTAAATAAAAATCAGCCCTGGCCGGGTAACTCAGTTAGTTAGAGCATTGTCCCGATATGCCAAAGTTGCAGTTTCAATCCCCGGTCAGGGAACATACAAGAATCCACCAATGAATGCATCAATAAGTGGAACAACAAATTGGTATTTTACTTTCTCTTTCTCTCCCCCTTCCCCCAAACTCTCTCCCTTCCTCTCTCTCTCTCTCTCGAATCAATAAATAAGTGTTTTTTAAAATCAGCAAATATATAGATGTTCTCACACAAGGCTGCACTGTTGTGCATACAAGGATATTCATCGGATATTAGTTAAATAAAGTATAGCATATCCACACAATGAAATATTATGGAGCTATAAGATTGAGTGAGGCAGCTTTACTAGTATATATAATGACATATACTATATACTGATAAGTGAAAAAAGCAAGTCACAGAGTGTGAATACAAATTTGTATTTACAAGAAAACAATATTTACACTTATATGCTAACATTTTCATAAATTATCCATAGAAAGATGCAGAAGGAAGTTACAAACAGTGGATACCTCTGTTGGCTGAGGACACAGGTAGGTTAAAAGCAAGGGAACAATGCCCTAGCCAGTTTGGCTCAGTGGATAGAGCATTAGCCTGCGAAGTGAAGGGTCCCGGTTCGATTCCAGTCAAGGGCACATGCCCAGATTTTGGGCTCGATCCCCAGTGGGGGGCGTGCAGGAGGCAGTCAATCAATAATTCTCTCTCACCATTGATGTTTCTATCTCTCTCTCCCTCTCCCTTCCTCTCTGAAGTCAATAAAAATATATATTTTTTTAAAAAAGCAAGGGAGCATCTTCTGCAGAAGGCAGGTAGACTAGAGAAAATCCTAAGCATCAGGATAAAAGTGAGACAATACACAAACTCTAGCAAGGTTTCTTCACAATGCACTACTGACAGTGGGGCCAGGTCATTATTTGTTGCGGGGAATGGGGGGCTGTCCTGTGCAGTGTAAGATATTTAGCAGCATTTCTGGCTTCTCTCCACTGTATGCTGATAGTACATACACTCCTCCCACCCCTGGCTGTGACTACCAAAATGTCTCTAGACACTGCCAAAGTGCCCTGGGAAGCAAAATCGCCCCTGGTTGAGAACCACTGCTCAAGAGCCACAATGTTAATAGTTAACCTATAAAACAGTCTAGTACTATATTCCTATAAATCAACAACAAATGCAATATACACTCAGATATGGATCTGAAGAATACAGTGGATGTTGTTTGGAAATGACCTTCACACATCAGTCACAGTTTCTCATATTATGATAATATGAACTGAACCTTTTGGGTCTCTGAAGCAATTTGCCAGTTAGTAGACCAGCCCCAAACCCCAACCCCATTTCCTCCCAAACAGCATGCATTCTATAGATCCCAGATCTTTCAGGGTGCCCAGGAAGGCAACCTGCCCACAGAAATCTAACAGAAAATCGTATTTTGGCCCAGCTCTTGGAAAACTAATATAATTACTGATACAATGCAAATTATTTGCATTAGTTAATAATGTTTCTTCTCTTAATTCCTAACAAACACACAAAGTGCAAGACATTGTTCAAAAATAATGAAAGACATCACCCAGATTTCAAGATTATAAAGAGAATGATTCGTTTAAGAAGCCAAGAGAGGCTTAACTAGATTCCATAAATCACATTTTATTAAGCATAAAGCCATTTCTAATATACCACAATCAATGAGGAAGGGGGAGGGGAATCAAGACATCCAACAGGCTTGAATATTTTTCTAAAATTTTGTTGATTTTCCTGTGTCTGTTCTTTTCCCAAAACCAGAAAACCAATAATACCCTGGCAATCTTGGCTTCATAGTTTGAAGTCATTGATTCCTCCAATACCGCTGTCAGTGAAAAGTTCTGGATTTCATTCCCATAAAATAGTGCTCTTCAAATTCTAGGACTGTGCCGACTACTTGTGCTTAGCTCTCAGGCGGTTGGCTCTCTTTTGTGGAGGTGACCTCTGGTGACCTGCCTCTGCCATGAGTACACCTGTGAGTGGCTATAGAAGGTGCTTAAAAGTGTCCCCGGCAAAAAAAAAGAAACTCACCATTCTAACTACTTCAGGGTAAGTCTGCTCTGTCAAACAGCCTCTGCTTATTGTAATGTAGTCCACCAGTTCATTAAGAGTGGAGCGCTTGTATTCTTTCATTTTAAGATCAGATAGCGTGTCCATGAAGTCAAAAATGACACAGCACTGCTGAAGTTTCTTTAGGAACAGTTCAGGCTGCTCTGAGGATGGAACGTCTAAGAAAAAAAAAGGAAATGGTGTAAGTCTGTCATCAATTTCTAGGTAACAGGAATTCTCTGTGAAAATTATTTCAAAAGCAAGTTCAAAAAAGTAAGAATTCACATGACAACAGTGTTTTTTAACAGTTACACATGGCCAGGAGGGGATACCACATCCACTACTTTGGACAACTTGTCTTTGAAAAATTATGATACCAACATAATTGACCGCATTTGTTATTCCACACCGAAGATTGACCAAAATCCCAAGAGCCATTCGAGTTGAAGCTAATTTTAACCCAAACACCCCAATGTCAACATCCTTAAGCCAAAAACAATGAAAAAGGTCAAATTTCTCATTATAAGGTAAAAGCAAGAAGTTCTCACTGTTGGTAAAAAATTTCAAAGCAGAGATGTCAATGATTCATTTTAATTTCATGCTGACATCCTTGGTATTTAAAGCAAATGATGAGTGGTGTGTGTGTGTGTGTGTGTGTGTGTGTTTTACTTTGGCTTGCTTTCTATGAAGTTTTTTTGTCAAAGAAACTTGAGAAGTCAACAAAATGAAGTAACACCAACTTTCAAAAGAGTACATGAGTACTAGGACAATAAGAATGAACTCTATTTAAATCTACACTCTCTCTTTTGATCCATCTTCTTCCCTTAAAGTGGGAGAAAATCACTAACATCTTATTAGTATGTCCTTAGAATAAACATCTATTCTTTTCCCACAAACAGCAGGCCCAACATTTGGTTTTGTGTCATTTCTAAAAAATACCTAAAAATTTTAGGTTAAAACTCGCCAGCTAGAATGGAAGCCTGATCTAAGGTGAACTTGAAATACACCGACTAAGTTGTACAGAGCTATTCCTATCTTTTTTCAACTATTTTATTCCCCCATACTGGAGCTTCCCTAGAAAGGCAATGAAATTATGACCAGAGGAAGCTCTGCAGCCGTCATCTAAGATGATTAACTCATTAATCCTCAAAACATTCTTAGAGGTAAGCAGGAGGCATTGTATTATTATTCTGTATTTTCCAAAAAGAAAAGTAGAGACAATCAGTGAGGTTCCATAATGAATGAATTATGGGGCTGGCACAGTGCTTGGGTCTCTAACCACACTCCTAGTACTCATGAAGAACTTCAACAATGGTTGGCCAGTCCTTTGCAAACAGCCTTTGTCGCCAGCCTCACAGTGAATCCTTTACAGCAGCTTCAAAGGATGGGCCACCTGCTCCCTGAAGGTAAGTGCAACAGCTAGCAGCACACACCTTATAGCCATCAGCAGCCCCAGCAGAAGGCAGTGAGGACTAGGCTCCTCACAGGGTCCACCTGACTCCTCTCACAACCCTCTGCCCCTCTTCACATCTCACAACCCAAGTGCTACCCCAAGTACTCAGGACTTCATAGATAATTCCCCCAAAACACTACCTGCTGCATCAACTTTAAGATAAGTCTAAAATGTAGATAGGACACCTAAAAACATGGGATTTCTCTACCAGATATAAGGGAATCAGTATCTTTTAAGGTATATGACATTACTGTTACTCTCAGAAAAGTTATAAATTTAGAAATCATTCTTAACCAATGAGTTTCCTCTCCCACCACCACCCCTATAGGTCCCTAAAGACCAAATGTATCTTATAGTCAAAGATTTTGGAATTTGAGTTAAGCCATGAGATATGTCTTATTCTATGCCCCTAGACTTAATCACTTTTAAAAGATCTAGCATTAGGCTGTAAGAACTAAATTTAGTCAGACCAAACCTCTTTTAACTGTTACCTACTTCAATGATTAAAATAAATAAACAAACAAAAACTAAACAAGGCTGCTCATAAACATGACTATATACCCTTAACCAATGCCTAACTACCGTATTTGCCGGCGTATAAGACGACTGGACGTATAAGACGACCCCCTAACATTTCCACTCAAAATACAGAGTTTGTTATATACTCGCCGTATAAGACTACCCCCTCTTCCGCTCACCTTCCACACACCAAATAAAAGGTAAAAACA